GACATGTGACGAGAGTTCATGGTTTGGACACTTGTGGACACTTCAGTTCATCATAAGCTCATCCACTGTTGGTCTTCAGTGAAGCGCAAACTTGTTATTAATTTAGTAAACAATTAATCAATTGATTCAATCATTTCAACCATTTGTATACACTTTTCTAACATTGCATCAGATGTTCGCCAAATAATGTAGCGCTCAATAGTTCCCTAAATGTTTCCCAAAGTTCCCGTTCATCGCTATTGTAATGCATTGCAATATATTATAAAAGTTTGGAAAATACCCTCCAAATTACGGAATTAAAACTACTGAACGCTCAGCACATTTAATCACATGTTTATATCGTATTATCAATTGATTTGTTTGTTGTTTACCACAAAAAGCACATAAATATAGGGTTAATTAAATTGCGCACACAAAGCACCATGGCACATTATTGCCATGATATGGTGGTGCAGTTTTGTTTGATAACACATTACATTTTATCGCTAATCAAAACTCGATATAAAATAATTAAAAAACAGTTTGCATTGATTTGGCGGACGTATTGTGTGAACGGCACTGAATGCATGACTTTCTGCTTTGTCACTGAATGGTCACTGAATTTGCTATACATTTGAAGTTTGAGTTTCAAAACAATTGCTTTTAATTCAATTCAATATAAAGTGATTTGCAGTGAATCGAGAGAGGAATGGCTTCCGAGAGATACAGCTTTTCGTTGACTACTTTCAGGTATTTATTAAAGAAATGATTAGTAAATTGTTTATGAAATGTAATTAATGTCAAAACCAATGGTTGACTCAATCGTGTCTGCAGTCCGTCGGGAAAGTTAGTGCAAATCGAGTACGCGTTGGCAGCCGTGGCCGCCGGCGCCCCCGCCGTCGGCATCAAAGGTTTGCCCACTCTTTCGGCCACTCATTGAACCGTTTGAATGATAGTTTTGTTTGTGTTCACTAAAGCATCCAATGGTGTGGTTTTGGCCACAGAGAAGAAACACAAGTCCATCATCTATGAGGAGCACAGTATCTATAAAGTGGAGGCCATTACCAAACATATAGGTCTGGTCTACAGCGGAATG